TCCCTCTTCACTATACTTCAAATTTACAATTACTTCAAATGTTAGGTACATTCCATGCCCAGGAGTGGCGCGCACGGACGCGGCTGCGCATGTCATATGAACGCGCCGATGGTGCTGCTCAAATTTGACCTGCGCCGGACCAGTAGTTGTGTGTAATGGTGTTCTCGAAATACAAGGTGGAAGATTGGTTCAGGAGCCCGAAGAAGGAAGAAAGGAAAAAATTTGTTGTCGTGGATGGTCCCATAATGTTCATCCTGCACAAGAAAAAAGGGTGGATGAAGTCAAGCGCTGAATGTCTGATCACAGAGCCTGGACCCTTGTCGAGCTTCCCCGCGAGACTGACATCCCAGCTGCAACTGCTGCCCGAGTTATGTCCGATAAACTGAGGATGGTCAAGAGGGTGTGCGCATGGGTACCTAATTTTCTTGTAGAAGCACGAACGCAGTACCGATATGCGCCTCTAGCAGTAATGTTCTCAGCATGAGATGTCATTCACGACTGTGAAAACGCACCCCGGCCCTAGATGAAATATGGGTGGTCTTGGACCTCGAGCCAAAACTCACAATCGTCAATTTTGTATGAATGCAGATGAGAAGCCGCCCAAATTCTGCCATGAGGAATTACGTAAGCCCAAGTGGATGGGCATAATAGCAATGGATTTCTGCGACTTTCAAGCGGCTCTACACAGAACAAAATCGTCGCTATCGGTGTATCTGTTTCTCGACAATCAGATCGTCAAATGGATGGTACCACACAACTACAGGAAGGCACCACCTACTACCAGGAAGCACCACCTAGCCAGTCCGTTTCCTGCGTTGTTTCCCCATACTCTCTCGAAACACCGTTGCTCTTCATAGTATTAAACCCCGAGCAGCTAGTAGTATTATAGGGCAATGCTACGGCACAAACAATAGTGAGACTAGGTTCAATCGCCCTTCATTCGAGCGCTAACATAAAGCTGTGGAATTTCAGCTGTTCTGGTGAGTCAAAGCTACTGTCCGACGGCAAACACTACAACGTTTTGTCATTCGCCGAAGTTGGCATCAACAGCAATTTACTCGCACTTGTTGAGAAAACGAAGGTACCTGTGGTCCAAACGCTTTCGGAGCACTTGGAGCGGGGCATTAATGAAGGGGGGACAGCTCCACTCAAAGCCGAAATATTAATTTTTATCTGTTTCCCCCTCTTCATTTTATATGAATAAAACCTTCCACGTTTTTGAATGGGATGATGTACTATGATTTAAAGTAGCCGGCCTTGTGGAATCGTGAAACTTTTTCAAACGCATACTTTTGGAAACGGTGCCATCGATTTCGAATCGTCCATCACCTGCGAATCTTTCAATATATGCGCTTCGCCCACATGCTACAGATTGACATCCCCAAGAGCACCCATTACAGGGCACGTAGACCTGAAAAAGATCACACCCTAGGACAGGATAAACAACACGTAAAATAAGAATCCGAGAAAACTAACTGCTTTTTTTCTTCCTCTGCACGCTGGTTGCTCCAACACTCTCTGAGATGTTCGTGCGACTTTGCTCGTGTTGTGTGAATTGAACACCGATAACATTTCCAAGGCATTTCCTGTACAATGAAACAAATAAATTCAGTATACTATTGATGAAACACACCACGCTACAGCAGGACACGCCACGTCGATGTGATTGATCACATTGGGGGAGGGGGAATCGTAGTTTGACCGCGAGGGAGGGAGAAAGATAGTATTGTAGCGTCTAAAAAATCTTTTTCGAAATACTTTGATTTTTCTTTGTTTCACGAGCCGCTAATAAGGGGGGATCCCTATGTTGGCTCGTTGTTGGGAGAGGGACTGCGCAAAGAATTCTATAACAACCATTATTTGATTTCCCGATGGTTCTGAAAAATGATACGTACAATCCTAACGCCCTCTCTCCCACCTCACTTGGCGGAAAAATTCTTGGATGAAAACTGGGAATTTTTCGGGGAAAATGGAGAAAGTGGTAGGAAGTTGGGAAAAAAAATTAATAAAGTGGTGGTAGGCCAATGGGGAAGGGGGAGGGGTGGGCGAGGGGTCGTAATTTCTTAGGAAGTGATCACCGTCACGCGATGTCGTGCCCTGGCTACAAGGCGAGCAAAACTTCACTTTTTTCTTACAATTAGATCTCAATCACTTACTTCTTCTGATACGTTACACCGTTCAACATGGTAGAGAAGACCATAGTGATGAGTGAACAGCCTGCCACATTCTATACAAGGCAGTTGCATACACATCGCCATTCCTTCCCGAACAAATCTTGCTCTTGTTTTCTTGTCCAACAAACGGAACTCGCTCGCGCGCTCACCCTATAAAACACCGAAATTTCGAACTGAATAATCGAACAGACATGACCAAAACGAAAAATTGGGTGCAGTTCAGTGTGGACAGGATTGCGATCCGGGAATTTTCTGTATTCCCTCATCATAAGCGGAAGAGCAATGAAAAAGTTTCAACTGCGCGAAGCCAAAATTTGACATATTTTATAAGACCCTTTTCTCGCCATCATTTTTCTATTTTGTCAAGATTTGCAACGGAGGCCTGCGTTCCTTTTAAGCGAGGAGGTCGTCCCTTCCTCGAAAGTCAGTGACTCATTTATTTTAGGCAGTAGAGCGCAGCAATATATGTACGCTCTGCCTCTGAGCCCTACCCATTTAAACTCACTATTCATAGGTATGAAAAGCTGCCATCCGCTGGCAGGATTCACTATATTTAGCTCACTTCACATAGCCATGCATCCGAGACTGGAATGAAGGAGGGGCAGACGATGCTTTTGATCGTTGGATCATTTTACGGCGCTGATATGGCGCCCTTTGGGGGGGTGGGGCATTCCAAAGCGCTATTTAGGGATGGCATTTGAAGAGCCCCTTTCCCAAAACTAGAATGGTTCGCGAATTGTTTTTTTTTCTGTAAGCGA